TCCGGTCCAGTTTTTGAAAGAGCGAAGGACAATGTCGTTACACACCCTGCCTCTGTTTGTCATTTCGCCAGCCTAGACTGCCCGCCTCCCTGCTTCTCTTGTCGGGGTCTCGGGCGGTATGGACACTGATGCTTCGGGCTCGAGCATCCGCAGGTCCCCCGCAGCGGTTCCTGACGGGTAGCGCGGGATTTTGCCACGATGAGCCTACTTGTACGTGCTGGGGGCACTGGATGCACTGGGTTGCCGCCCCAATAGTACCTATGGGTAATGGCTTGCTCGTCTTCCACGGTGGCCTGGCCCGCGATGGCAATCGAGCCTTTACAGCGAAACCCGGCGACTGTTGGTTGGCCACCTCATTTCGTCTGCTCATTGCTATCTGCTACGAGGTCCTATTGGTACGAAGACGCGCAAGGCGATGAACTGCTTCTCCAAGTGCAGTAATACTTCGCCCCCACACCTACAGCCGCAGCATTCGCCACTTGTTGATCGCTCGCAGTACCTGCGGACCCGGGCATACAACTGCTTGTACGGTCCCGAGCGTTTGAAACACGGCGTAAAGATCACCACGAAAATGTCTGATCTAGGAAACCATGAAACTATGAGGCTGGCTCGAAGCTCCCCTGTGTGCCTTGGGATGATGAGAAACAGGCAACAGGCACGAAGGGGAGAGCGACCAGCATTCAATTGGTCGATTTCCGCGATGGAGCAATACAGTCTTGACTCCACATCAAGGCACAAGCTCGGGCTTGGATCCCCGCGTTTGCATCTGATGATGGGACGGCGGGGTTAGGTGGACAAACAAGAAAGATGAAAGGGTGTCGAAGCTACCTAATTAACCCACGTCTCCACCCTCAGCTTGGCTGTCTTGGTTGTCCACCGACTCCCGCAACGGGAAGCTTGAATCTGGTGGGATAGGTGGGCCCTCGCGCCATGCCGACAACTGCAATCTGCTCCGAAAAGCACGACGCGAAGCATCATGGTCCGCGAGCTTATTAACATGACAGAGTGCAACAACGTACATGTAGGGCTCCAGCAAGGCCAAGGCCCGCTGGGTAGACTTTGCGGCATACCCGGTTGCGCACCTGGGCATGTGCATCCGAATGGGTACATGTATCTCTGCAACTGAACAAAAGATCGACACCCATAGGTCGGGTATCCCGAGCCCGTCGAAAGGGGTTCCCACCGGGATGGGTCGCCAGGGGTGGTCGGGCTAGGCCTGCGGTGAAGTGGTCCTGCTGGGACGCATTTGGGTGATTCTGACAAACCCGCTGACCAAGGTACCTTTGAATAGCTCCCAGGTCGCATCGCACACTACCCATGAAATGACTCTCAGGTGGCCGACCAACAACAATTTGCACATGTGCTCCATGTTGTGGAATCTCAATCTCATATCAGAGCAGGCAACAGCGCAACCAGCAGCGGTCATGCGTTTTTTTTTTTCTCTTTCCTGCAAAGGTCTCCGGAGGGGACAGACGTCACGTTCTGGGCGTGTACATGCTGCTCCGGTACACCCTCTCCACCTGGGGGCCGGGATGAGCCTGGTATCGACGATCTCAGGCCGCAGAGGCAAATCTGCGCGGGGCGAACGGGTCGCATGACGGCGCTACGTGGTCAAGTCTGGCAACCGGCAGCAGCCTGCCGAACTGCACAACCATACGGCTATGGTTCATCACGAAGGTCACCACTGCAATCGAGAGGCTTTGGATCCAGGATGATCTCCAGCTGGAACTGCATGACATCTGAGAATTGACTCGAGCCTGTCCACTTCACGCAGCGCGATCTTGAAAGCGGCGAGGCGCGATGATTGATAGCACTGTCCGACTCTGTGTTGGCTCAACATGACGACTGAAGAGGAAGAAGAAGAGATTAGGGTTGCCCAAGTAGGGCGATCACCTGAGACGTTGAGTGCTGACATTGACAAGACTCTTCGTTACATTGGCAATTCTTACAGGACATCTAGTTATGATTCTGAGCTCATTGAAGCAGGCATCCCTGGGCCTCAGCAACTAGGTAAGCGGTCCCTATTTCCGTCGCGGCTGTGTAAGCACTGCAGTCTTTTTGGGATGGGGGGGAGGGGTCGGAGAGGAGCCGGTTGTCAACTCACCCCCTTCCCCCTACCCCCTTCCCAGGCTGGCAACCTGCACCATCAAACTCTCAGGCGGTTGCCGATCCCATCGCAATCTCTCCAATCTTGGGCTCTTGGATTAACCGATTCCATGCGCGGAGGGGGGGAGGCATCGAAGAGACAGGACATGAGGCAAGGCGGTGTACATACAGCTGAAAGGCGGCCAAGGACGAGAACTTGTTGTTCACAACGGGGGTACTTGTCACACAACTGATGTACTCGAAGGTTATTGCAAAGAGACGGCAACGGTTTCCTCCTTGCTTGCCTCTAGCCTGACCTAGCTGAAAGCTTGCCTAGCGCGTCGGCGCTGGTCCGCCCGCCTTTGGCGCTTGTCCTTGGAAAGCCGGAGTCCGCACCAACTCGCCCATCTTCCGACAGAGACGGGCTACCGTTGGCGGCATTTTTAGTGACCAGCCAAGCCAGCCTAGTCACCTCAAAGTGGCCCCATCCCCCCTTTCCCCCCCGGGAGCCCCAGAGCCCCATCTGGCCCGCAGCTCTGTCCACCTGGAGGCCTGTCACGTCGCTAGCTTGGCCGCCACCAAGAGACAGGCGCCATCCAAGCTTGATCCCACGTTACAGAGTACATACCCGACGCAGCCCTACGGGTGCTCGTTCCACCCACAGTCCGGGTTGGCTCGCCCGAAGTTCCTTTTGCTGTCTGGCCGGCCCTGACCCTGACCCTGGTTCACTAGGGCGCAATGGCTGCTCTAGTGACGAAGAGAAGCAGTGTCAACATGGGACCTCATGCACCAATCGTACAGCAGGAGACACAAGAGTAGCAGAGGCCTCGACCTTGTCAACGACAGTGTTCGTCTTGTCGTTTGGCATGCGGCCTACGGGAAGGGAATCCTTCGATCCTGTACCGCTCTGCCCTATCTACCTGACTACCTGCGTGCCCGGTGAACAACGTGCAGATGGGGGAATGAAACCTCATCACATCATGCGGCCGATC